TTTTTTTTTTTTTTAAATAGAGTCTCAAATGTCTCCGACTGGCCTGGAACTCTCTGTGTCGCTGAGGATGGCTTTGAACTTTTGATCCTCCTCCTCCCAAGAGCTAGGATTGCAGGCATCACCATACCCAGTTCACACGTGCTGGAGACTGAACACAGGGCTCTGTGTGTGCTAGGCAAGCTCTCTTCCAACTGAGCCACATCCCATTATTTCTTCACGAGGCAGATGAGAGCTCTGGTATCTTAATGACACTAATGCCGTCATCGGGCCCCACCCACATGACCTCATTTAACCCTAATCACTACCATAAGAGCACGCTTTCAAATACCACCCACCTAGGGCAAGAGCTGCAGCATAGGAATTTGGGGTGACTCATTCAGTCCATCTGGTGGTACAGACTCCCACCAGTAGCTTTTGCGGAGTGTGGTCAGTGCCTGTTGGGGTCCCAGAGTGGAGGAGCATGAGTCACTGAGGACACAGCTCTGGGACATCGTAGCATGGATTTGCCATTGACTGGGTGTCTCTGCTCTCTTTCCCACCAGTCTTCATTGTATACAAAGTGAAGGGCTAGCCGGACTCAGTTAAATATAGTATATGAGACTACATCCAAGTCTCCCTAGCTCTTCTATATCCCCTAATAAACACATATATACATGCACACATGCACACACCAGCCATACGCATACACACCAATCATACATACATACATGTGTACACATATATACACATACATATATCCTTACAGTTGTCCTTATAAGTGACAGCCTAAAATCTAGTAAGTTCCTTGATTTGGCAGTGTGCTATGGGACATGTCTTCTTAACCAGGAATAAGAAAGTGCAGTCTTGCTGAAGATTTGGGGGTCCATGTTTTAATAGAAATTCCACAGACTGACCGACAGAGTTCTGGGGTGTGCCCTGTTCTCTCCCAATGCCAGACAGAGTATCCAGTTGCCAACTTGTTCCCTGCTGTGGGACAGATTCCTGCTAACCTAAACGTATAAGACGTTGAAGACATCAGGTCCAAGCAGCCCTGCTGAGCCCTGCCTCTCCCAGGCCTTCTCAGTTCAGAATTTGAGCTCCAGAGAGAGAGAATGGAAACTGATCAGGACAGTGGTTCCTTATTGAGAAAGAGGCTCCTGGGAGCTGTGACCCTCATAGATCAGTGTTCCATCTGTGCGTGCTCCTCTCTCCTCTTCATGACCCCACACCTCTCTCTGCCCTCCTGAGCACTTTTCTTCCTCCTCATGGCTAGCCAAGTACCCCCATCCCTGGCAGATGGAGTGAACTGGATGGAATGGGCAGATAACAAGACTCCCGGGAAGGCAGAGCTGACCCAGATCTCTCTGCCTTTTAAACGTTTTGTATATTAGGAATGAAGAGAGCTCAGTTGGTAAAATACTTGCCATGTAAGCATGAGGCCTAGAGTTAGATCCCCACATAAAATCTGGGTGTGATGGGATATCGTTGTAACCCTAGCACTGGAGAGGCAAAGACAAAACCCCTGAGGCTTACTGATAAGCCAGTTTTGGTGGGCTCCAGACGTGAGAGATGCTATCATCAGACAGGACCATCATCAGATGGCACCTCAGGATGCATGACACCCGGTCTTGTCCTCTGGCCTCCAAACACGTGCAAACACACACACATGGGCACACACACGCACACACACACCATCTGTCCTCAATGTTAGTGATGCTCTTTAGTATCAAGCTCCACGGCGCCCAGATGTGAGTCTTTCGAACAAGATGTTGCAAAGCCAAGGGGGGTTTCAGGCATCATGGCTGCTCCCTCACACCGCTCCCTCACAGCTCTGATCCCTCTTTGCAGGCTGGCAGTGAAAACCCCAGCATCTCCCTCCATGTCATCGGCTTGAGTGGACCCACCCACGACCTGGAGATGATACCACCTGATGACCCTCGCATGAGGTTGGTTTCTTGTACAGTTGGGTTAGGAACTACTGCAAAGGGAAGCCATTAATGCAGCTTCTCCAGAATGGGCCTCCAAGCACTTGGTTCTCCCAGCCTTCCTTGCTGATATGTGGTTAGTTTTTCTGGGGAAAAAAAAGTAAATGGAAAACACCAAACAGCATATACTTTTATTCCTGACCTTATATCAGGCCAGATAACCTTTCCCATGGGAGGGAATGTCCTCTGGAAAAGCATGCCGGGTCAGCCCCTGTCCCAACAGGGTCATTCACACAGCAGACAGATGGCACCTCTGGATGACCTGATGCAAGAAAATCCTGGAATCCAATTTCCGTGAGCAGCACCCCATTTTCGGGATTTTAGAGGACCTCTAGCTAAGCATCTCCTACAACTGCCTGATGAGTTCTCCTCTAAAAGGGCCAGACCTCCCAGCAGGTGGCAGGCATGTGCTTCAAAGGGCATGTGGAAAATCATGTTGGCCAATTGCTACAAGCATCTACCTTGTACAGACTTTCTAGTTAAATGAGAAAAATGGGATCCATCGAAGTGACATTATTTGAATATCGGTTTTGCTTGAAGTCAAGCCATCAGGGGACTGAAACATCTAGAGTCTGGTTCCATAGTTACCATACCTCTTTGCAAGAACAGTGAGAGGAACCGCACATCTAGGACTTTGAATGTCTATAAATAGAGCTGTTCGCGCTGGGAGCACCCAGTTTGGAGACTCAATGGGTGCCCAGGCTATATGACAAAATTTGGCTCTTTGTGATTCTGTCACTTACATTATCAGAAGTTTCTGGCAGCTTCTAGAAGGGCAAGTGCTTGGCCCAGTTGTTTTCATTCCCCTGGGGAGGGTTCTCCACCACACACTCACCCTCCATTCTCCTCTCCCTGACATAGCACTCTAGTTCCCCTAATGTGTAGTTTTCTTCACCCCCACGGATAGTCACCAAGCAGAGGCACTCATTTGACATCAGTAGACAGGGATAGAAGGGAAGATGGTGGAACCCAGAAGAATTGTGCAGGGGCCTTGGGCACTTGGGGAAGGGATGACAATAATGCTCTTCAGAGACAGCTTGGTATATCCAACCCGCTCCCCACCTGAAGAGTTCCACTGAAGGCCTTCAACCCCTTTCTTTGGTGTGGAACCTGATATCATGGTGCCCCTGGGAGGAAAGACCAGGCTTGGAAATCCAGTGATCTGTAAAGGGCTAGCCTCTTCCTTTCTCTTCCTGCCCTGGACTGGTCTTGTCCCTTGCCAGACAGGATTAGGTACCCCTACTGAGTCTTCATAAACCTGAGCCCACATAGCTTCCTAGGGTAGGACTCTGGTGGCCCATCACGGGGCAGTCCCCCCTCCATGTGCAATGGTGGAGGAAGACCAGTCAGTTTGGCCGATGCTATTTTTACTGAGATAAAACAGATCAGGTTATTGTCTCTACATCTCTCCTGAAGATCCCTCTATGTCATCAATTCCCTCTCAGCCCTGCCAAGCCTCCAGGGGCCTGGTCCAGCCAACATGCTGAATTAATATGGAAAGTCACCTGGAAAATTTCAGCCATCTGTTTGAGTTAATTGGGAGTCTCGTTTAGTCAATTTGGTGATGCTGTTTCCACAGACTTGATTAGCTTCAAGGACAATGAAAAATTAGCTGCAGTCAGGACGTGAAGTTTGAAGGCTGGCTGGCTTTCAGGTCTTGTGCTTGCTCTAATTTCTTAAGCTAAATGCAATAACATGCTTCATGAGCAATACAAATCTGTAACATGCAGATGCCACTCCACCTACTGATTCTCTGTCACACTTCCTTGAGGTTTTCTATTCTTAATTTTGTTTGTTTTTATTTCATGTGTGTGAGTGGTTTTGCCTGCATGGATGTATGTGCACCCCATGCATGCAGTGTCTGCAGAAGCCAGAAGAGGGAGTCAGATCCCCTGGGATTAGCGTTACAGATAGTTTTAAGCCACCATGTGGGTTCTAGAAACCAAACTGAGGTCCTCTCTGAGACCAGCAAGCACTCTTAGCCTCTGAGCCATCTCCTAGCCTCGCTAGAGGTTACCCTAAGATGCACACAGATGTATCAGAATGTTGTCTCAATGTGAGCACGCAGTTGGCATTTACCTGTCATTCAACCTGGTACTGAGAATTGATGGTGGGTGAGCATGGAGCCACATGGTAGAGGGTGAAACGGACACAAGGCAAAGCCTTGTAGACATGTAAACAGAATCATGAGGGTGTATGGAAGAAGAGGCCATTTGTCTGGAGGTGACCATGTCACCGGCTAGACCAGAATTTCCCAGTCTTGACACAAACAAAATCTTGGACCTGGTTAGTCTTGTTGTGAGGCTGCCCTGATCCCTCTTTCCCCACCCCCAGCCATGGATGGAAGAGGTCTCCTGGCATCGACGAAGCTCCAACCAGAGAAGCTCTGGTATGAAATGAGGTTCCCTACCAACTGGCTGGATTCAATCCTGTGGCCTCAGGCATTTCCAGCCTCTCTCACTTGTTCTCTCCTCTGTAAAATGGAGGAAGGGAACCTATCATAGAACCTGTGCGGTCTCCGGGGTAGCAGGTAAAACTCTAGGAAGTGATTCCGGGGGCATAGCCCTGACCCACGCAGTCTCCTGGCTGGAAGTAGTCCCTGCAGGCCACATCTCTCTTCTCAAATGTCCCCTGCTTGTCAAAGAAGTTCACGTTCACATAGCTAACTGGCTGCCTAGCATCACCTCTGGGCATTGTCAATTATGTGGTCAAATTATGATTCGCAGGTAATTCAGGGGACTTGAGTTCAAGATTTAACTCCAGAATTAACAAAAGGTACAAAAAAGTGTTCAGATGGGTCCAGATGGCATTTGAGAAGCGGAATATCTAGAGACAATTTGACAAACGTGGCATTGAACTTGCTGGATGCATGCTGGCCCAGCAGGCAGAGTCAAGAAGATTCCTCTACACCAACAGAAGCAGTCAACACAGGAAGGGATGCTCCTTATAATTTTGCATGATCTCATTGGCCTATGTAGGAGAGCTGGATAAAGTCAGCCACCATTTCTCATTGGCATCTGAAACTGGACAGTCTTTAGTAAGCTGGGGTGCCTGGTCCCTTCCTGCCCTCAAGCCCTGCAGTTTTCCTACCCCAGCCCAGGCTACTCCATCTTCACCTTGACCGGTTGGCTGGCTGACCTTGACTGCCCCAGGGATCTGCTCCTCCCTGTGTATCCTTTCCTGGGCCTAGTAGTATGGCCCCCATGGCTTGTCAGTCTCCTGCTTCCTTACCCACTGTATCTCCAAACAGTAGCTAGAGTGACATTTAAGCCACAGTGGGTCATGAGGCCCCTGCTCAGAGTGTCTGCAGCTTCCCTCCTCACAGAGGAAAACTAGGCAGCTTCTCTAACAGTCACTCAAACCTGCTACTTGATGGGTCACTCTAGCACCCCTATCCTCTATCACTAGAATCTTCTATGCCCTGAAAGCCCTTTGGAGAGCTGACGGTTACCTTCTCTCCCCTTCAGAACCAGGGGATCCAGAGGACCAGCTTTTATTTGACTTGTTCCCATTTCTGCCCCGCCTGCAATGTGGAGTGGTTGAGGAAGGGATACGTGTACGCGCACGCGCGCACATACACACACACACACACACACACACACACACACACACACACACTTGTAAGTCTACTACCATTCTGCAACACGGAGTGGTGCATCATTTCAGTTCAGGACAAATTTGCCCAATGAGTAAGCTAATTTAAATACTAGAACCAAAGTTTCTCTTTTCATAGGATTTTGAGGTCGATTTCTTCATTTGTGCTGGTTATTTTCTGAGGGTGGAGGCTAATGTTTTGGCATTAGACATTGGTGACAGCCTCCATTAAGGAAAAGGGAAACAAGGGGGCTGGAGAGATGGTTAGTGATTAGGAGTGCTTGCTGCTCTTGCAGAGGACTACGAGTTTGGTTCCAAGCACACCTGCAGGGCAGCTCACAACTACCTGTGACTCTAGTTTCAGGGGACTCTGTCACCCTCTTCTGGCTTCCATAGGCACCCCCATACACATGGCATTTACATACAGGGATGTAATAATTAAAAGTAAAAAGTAATACTTCAAAATTATAAAATGAAATAAGACACTTGCTCTATGCAGGGTATGAGGGAGACTTAAAGTGCCATGGGGGTTGGGGGTGGGGAGATGTGCCCTGTGGGTAAGGATGCTTGCAGTAAGGAAGCCTGAAAGCCCAAGTTTGATCCAGAACTGACTCGCAAAAGCTGTCTCCTGACCTCCCCATGTTCACTGTGGTGCTGTACACACATACAATTTTAAGAAATTTTAATGGCCTTGAAAACGTAGAAAGAAGTAACCAGGAATCCTGGAGATGCAGGCATATAGTCAGCAGGCAGGCACGGGGCAAAGAAAGACACCAGACACCTTGTTGGTTTCCCCAGTGCATGGCTGTTCTTTGCCTCCACCCAGCCTGGCTTCTCTGGGGTGCTGTGTTACAGTGGCCCTGTGAATCCTCCCGTGTGGCTCCCATGCCCTCATTTGTCTATGTAGCATGTGCTATGTTAGGCCCTTGGGCAATGGAGAGTCTCCCTGAGAGTGCAGCCTCCGGAGCTGTGACAGCACCCTGCCTCGGACTCTGAAGGGCCAGGGCAGGAGCCACATGTGGGAGTGAGAGAGAATCCCGTGGGAGTGTTGGGAGCACCTCTCAGACATTTCAGAAACCTGCCAATAGCAGGAGTGTCTTGGGAAATCCGTGTCGAGATCTGAGAATGGCCCTGTGGCACACATAATTCATACAAACACACCATACACATAAAATTAAATAAATATATCTTTTTTAAATTGCAATTTTAAAAAAACATGGGTATACATGTGGATCTGGAAATAGATAGAAGTAAGGGATGGGTGTGTTATAGATCAAGTGTGAGTACAGAGCAGTACAGAGATTGTGCACGTCTATGACTGTGTACCCAGCACGCAGCCTGTACTGTACTCCCAGACTGTACACAAG